ATTATTGTCATTTCATTCATAAATTTTTTTTTCTTTGAAAGGAGATCTGTATTTGACAGAGACCCAAATATCGATTTTCCATGGGCTCAGGGCCTAAGAAGAGAACCCCGATCAATGTGCCTATAATTTGAACCCCCATGCAACAAAGGTGGGATAGAAACTTTCCCAGAGAGGACTTACAATGACAAGAAGAGAACCCCGATCAATGTGCCTATAATTTGACCCCCCATGCAACACAGGTGGGATAGAAACCTTCTCAGAGGGGACCTGCCTACCAATTGGACAAGGAACGACACTATATATATATTATTAATAAAAAATATCAATTTTACAAGTATTTTTAAGATTAAATACAATTTTATCATTCATCATATTATAATATAAATATTAACATTTAAGTATTAGATACATTAACGCATAAACATTGTGTGATATATATATTATTAATAAAAAATATCAATTTTACATGTATTTTTAAGATTAAATAAGATTTTATCATTCATAATATTATAATATAAATATTAAGTATTAGATACATTAACACATAAACATTGTGTGATGTTAACTATTTCAAATTGACGGTGGAGAAACCCAATCAATGGAAGATAAATAGCCCCGAGGACATTTGTATATTATTTTCTCCAGCCATAGCCCTCTCTCTGCTTCTACCAGTCGTGCAAAGCCGGCCCTCATCCTTTTCCCGCACCCACCGCAGTTGGACAATTAGAGGGTCTCCGTGCGGCAAAGAGAATCGCTATCTCCTTCTTTCTCTCTCGTGGTCGGATGCCGTGTCTGGATTGATTAGAGTGCATAGGGGGCGATCGATTGGCTTGGATCCGTCGATTTCCGTTCATCGATTTGCTGGCAGGGTGAACGGGACGGTCGGGCCTTGGGTTGGCTGCGGATGCCATACAGTTTGGGTAGGAGCGGACCACGGAAGCGTGATCCATCATGTGGTTTCCTTTCTGGCGTCCAAGGAATAGGTTCTCCGTCGACGAGCTCCGGTTCGTTAATCTTGTTCCTGCCGTTTCTGTTTTCTTCAAGGGTTATTCATGGTGGTATTGTGGAATGTGTTCGGTTACTAACTATGGTTTTTTAGTGACGGTAAATAGGCTTTTTTTATTGTTACCGGTTGTAACCTTTTGAATATTTGGAGTCCCTTGAGTCGAGTTGCTGGAGAAATCTGCTGAAATGCCATGTGGATCATGAGCGAGTTGAAGCAGCACCACTTGCACGTTGAAGTTGCCATTTGAAAGTTGTTATTGCAAACACAGATGAAGCTCGTTTTCAGAAGTTGCCTGCGAAGGAGAGTGTTCCGTGATCGGCAATTGCGCTCTGAGCGGCCGAAAGTTGCATTATAGTTCATTTGCGTAGTATGCTAGTGCATTTTCGGCCGAAGGAACTGGGAATCATTTTGACAACTACTAGTTCAAGCGTGAAAATGGAAATCATTAGATTTATGGCAGTAGAACCTGCAAATAGAACTTAGAAGCTAGTCAAATTGAACTCGGCAATGAAATGATGTGTTTTGTCGGCATATTCCCTGATAAAAATGTAGATTGAATAGAGCTTCATTAACAACGACCTAGTCTGGTTTTATGATTGAAGTTCTGTTTTAATTGTAGTTGTTTCTAAGATCCGTTAGTTAACACTTTAAAGTATCTGCTATTTTCAATTTTGTTTCTCTCAATTTTTCAACACAGGCATATCCAAATGTATCCTGTTGGTTTGCTTTCTAATTCCATAATCTAAATGAATTTGCTAATAACGAAATAATTTTTTTTGATTTTTTCAGCATTTCTGATTCTTGGTTAGTTTCTATTGGTTCTCTGGTGCTATTAAGAGTCGATTTCTAAATGATGGGGACTTATGGGAAGGCATCAACTTCTACTCAGTAAAATTGATGTCTCCTGTGGGTCATTTTTGAATGTTGAGATTGTATCTCTTATTTTGATTTCATATTTCATAATATTTATCAGCCTTCTCATCAATAAATAGTACCACCTTCTTATGCGCAAGCTTTATACATTTGAGGTACTTTTTGGATGCTATTCCTTATAACTGTCAAGGAGGAACACAGAAGAATTTCATAAGTATTTTGACAAAGATTTTGACAGCATTTCTTTCTTCTGCATTACCCATGACCTGTCAAAGAATTCATTTGTTTGATGCATTATTATATTTTACGTTTTATTATCACATTATCTGATCAACATGTTTTGATTGCATATGCATAGAAATACTTTTTGTATGTTTAGATAATCTGTACCCACAGATTATTTCCTGCAATGGGAGATACCCAAATATGAGTCCTGCAATTAGACCCAGCTCATCATCACTTCGTTTTAACTCTCCATTAATATTGAATGGTCAGATATCTCACTGAACAACTGCAGAAAGTTCAAAGTGTGAATGAACTTAATCAGGTAAATTCACTTCAATTCAATCTATTCATTTTATGATGCACTGAATGATTTCCCTTACTCTTTAAATTATAAATCTTTGAAGGATTTTGTAATCGAAGCTTTGAGGTCAATTGCAGAATTGATAACTTACGGAGATCAGCATGATCCTTCATTTTTTGAGTGAGCTGTTTGTTGACGGTGTAATAATTTTATTTTTTCCTCATTATTGTCATTTCATTCAAACTAGTGGTGATACTATTTTTCAGATTCTTCATGGAGAAGCAGATCATGGGAGAATTTGTAAGAATTTTGAAGATCAGCAGACCTGCAAAAGTAGCACTCCAGTTGCTGCAGACCATGAGCATCATGATTCAGAACCTCAGAAACGAACATGCAATCTGTAAGTACAACACGTGTTTATGACAGGATGAAATCTGGCAGCTAACTTTGTTTATTTTTCGCTTTGCTTGATATAAATTTCATTAGATATTTTTTGGCATGTTTTGTGCAGACTATATGTTCAGTAATGAGCACATCAACTTCCTCATATCATATTCCTATGACTTCCACAATGATGAGCTACTGTCATACTATATATCCTTCTTAAGGCTAGTAATCCACGATTGATTTTCTGCTTGCTTGAAGTGGTTTTTTAAGGAAAATAGTGTTATTTCTATAGCTTATACCTTTTTTTCTTTTCATGAAGGGCAATAAGTGGAAAGTTAAACAAGAATACAACACCATTGCTTGTGAAGACACAAAATGTACGTTTTTCCTTCTCATTAAGTTATTATAATGCTGATTTGTACCCATCTTCATCGTCTTTTACAGCCTTATCAAATTATTTTGGGTAGGCAATGGCCCTCTTAATTTTCTTTTACCAACTCCATTTTTCATTGGAATTGCAAAATGTTTTATTCAGCTAATTTTATACCATATACTCACTGTAGTAACAGAAACCAATATCTAGTTTGGATAGACTGGGCATACTGTACATTATGTAGAGAACATTTAGCATAATATTCTGTGAATAGCAAATGAGGCATTTCTAAATACATAATTAGATAGTTGAATTAGTAAGAATGCAACTTTATGCACTCATGGGCATATATTGTAATCCCATTCTCCTTTGCTATAGCATGATTATACAAGTAAAGTTAGAACTATTTATTTAGGACAAAAAGAGCAGTGCGTTCTTCTTTTAGTAGGAGTTGATATCCATGTTCATTGCCATAGTTATCTTTCACCAATTTTAATTATGTATGTTAAGACATCATTAATGATGAATTAAAATTAAAAAAAATCACAAGGACGAGTTGACTTCATTTCATCTTCAAAAACCTAATAATAACCATTTTTGTTGCAAATATTAAGAGCATCCCTCCTCCGGTCATTCCTCTTGAGCGCAATAAATGTTGCTTTTATTTTGCGCAAAATTTTGTGCTACGTTTAATCAAATTGCCTTTTCTTTATCACTTCTCCTTCTTAGTTTATCCTGTTTATTTAATTTATTTGTCATATTTGCACATCTTTTATACATGCCCCAACAATCTAAGTTAATTTTTTATATTTTATATTATTTTTCCTACCTTTTCCTAATAAATCATTCATAACTTTAACTTTCATAGCGTTGCGACACCATCATCAAATTCTCATTTCTGCTAGTTTCAATTTGGGCATTAATAACTTCATTGTTGCATAGCCCAAGACCTAGGTGGCATATCTGGGCAAATAGCAAATTCATAATTTCTATATTTAAGCGTATGTGAAATTCTCTGAGCTTTGACTCTAGAAGTTATGCACAATGAATATCTTTGTTAGTTTGTACAATCAATCCAAGATGTCTAATGTTATCACACCTAGATATCACCAGATCTTGCTGTGATATTGATTGATATTTCACCGTTCTTTGAAGAGGTTTTGTCATCAACATTTTAACTTAGTCTTACATTTGTGCAACTTCTTCAAAGCTAATCATACTGTGGATCAATTTATAATAAAATTTCATTGATTATTTTTTTAAAATATTTTTCACAGCTATTTAATCATAACTCAATTTTTATTTTTTATTCTTTTTGCATTTTTCTTGGATATATTTATTTCTAAATAAGATTCTATAATCTTCTATCCTAACTTGATGATCATATCTTGATCTCCTTTCACTTACCTTAGCTTAATATGTCATTTTCATTTTCTTATACTTAGAATAATCATATATTTAAATCTTCAAAGCTACTTATACTTTGGATGAATTTATAATAAATTTTCATTGATTGTTTTCTTTTTAAAAAAATATTCCTGACGGCTCAGTTAACTATTCTTATGTTCAAAATAGCTGGGAAAAGGTCAGAACTTAGTAAACGCCAAAAAAAGATAAAGATGACATAAAATGAAGTTTGATCAGTAAGACTGGGAAAAGGCATTTCTGAGGATCGCTTCCAGCTACAACAAGAGATACAAGGTTAAGAGTTATTTGAAAAAATAATAATAATGAGGTGTTGAAAGCATAAAATGAAGTTTAGATTACCTGATTGTGAATAATGCAGGCAAGTGTACTGTCAATAGGCAACTTGCTCTCTTCCAGAGATAGTGACAGACTTTTCCTTAATTAAATAATGATGCCAAGCTTGATTAGGCTCACTATATGTTACATAGCATAATATTTCATTTGTCCAAATACAAATTTAGTTAAAAGAAAATGAAATCAATTAGATCATAAACTTCTGTCTCTAGTAGATCGCAAAATATATAAATTGTGCAAAAAAATAAAATATATTTAAATCAAAATAAAGTCAGATAAATCAAAAAATTATTTTTCTCTAGTAGATCAAAACATTATAGTCTTCAAAATTTGATATGTTAACTGTAGGAGTAACTAAAATTTGAGAAAAAAATATCATTATTTTGTTGTTAGTAACAACAAAAATAATTAGGAAGAAGTAATCATAATGAAAAATAATTATCTTTTTTTCAAAAAAAAAAAAAAGATAAACAACTATATGTGATCAATTTGTAAACTCTCATTTTCTTTGATCCTGTAAAAAACATTCAAATTGAAGTCAACTAAATCATCAAAAAACATTCAAATTGAAGTCAATAAACTAAAGAAATATATTATATTTTTTCTATTTCTTATGAGAGTTATATCTAGCCTTTTAACTTATAGGTAAGAGATTCTCCATCTCTGTCATTATCTTCTTCCTATAAAATCAAAGGATAACATATTATATTATAATTATAATATTAAAGTATATAATTATAATGAATTATAAAAAATAAGCATATATGAGACTAGAAAAATACTTTGATTCTTCCCTTTAATCCATAATGAGAATGATCCGATTTGATCTACAAGTAAGTAGGGTTGTCAAAATGGGTTTGGCTCGTTAAGAAATTTGTGTTAGTTTTGTTTGCTAAGCATATATATGCAAAGATTTATAATCAATTAAAATAAATAAGTAAAAAATATATTTTAAATATATTAAATTTTATTTAAATGACCTTTTAATATAAATAATAAGATTTAAATCTAGCCGCAATCCTTAACATCTTGCGGCTGCATGACTTAGGTTGTCAAAACGCTATTTGTTCGCAAACAACTTGTTCGGCTCGCTAAACAAACAGGCCGAACATGGGCAAAATTTTGGTGTTTGAAATATAAACTAGCCGAACACGAATAGTGATATTTTTTAACGAGACAAACACGAATGAACATGAGTTGAGCTCGGGCTCGCTCGTGTTCAACTTGTTTACACCCCTACGAATAAGAGCTTGCAAGGTTTCTACTCCAAGTTTGGAGCGATATTTGTCAACTACTCTCTCTCTTGCATTGAATGTCTACTCAAAAGCAACAATACTAATTGTAGTATTGGTTTGGATAGGTTGTCTACAATCATTCTCGATAATATTCTATTTTCATCTGATTATTTTTCTGCTACTCAATAACATCAAATTTTACACCTTCAGGACAAATCTCTAAGCCATCTTCTAAATAGTTTTCCAAGTCTGACTTTATAGGTGTCTTACTTATTTTCTCATTTATGTTTGCAGCAAAATCACTCCAAACACTATACTTTTTTGCCTCACTTGTTTTGCCTGATTCTGCATCCTTGTTGACATTCAGTAATGTGCTTGATGTCGCTTGAAATGTATCACCAACACCATTAATCTCATACTCATGAAAAGCAGCATACTATTAATAAAACTGATATAACAAGCTTCAAATATGTGAGATATTTCTCATACTTTTTTCACTATTTTATATTTTTTGATATGCAAATTCAATCACTGCAAATTTCATTCTAGGATCCATGTTTGCTCCAAAATCCATTAGCAAATTGCATCCACCCCAGTATTTGTCAAAATTTTCTTTCATCTTTCTGGTCATTTCTCTAATGAAATAATCAGAAGAAGTTGATCTCTCATCTAATGCATTCTTGATTGTGCAAATTTATAAAAAAAATAAATTAGAAATTGGATACCTGTCCCTGAAATTCTGTTAGTTGTTCATTGAAGAAACTAAAGATATCATAAACTTATTCAATGTTATTCTAGTCCTCTTCACCGGGGCAATTCACATACGCAATTTCTCTTACTCCATATGAAAAAAAATGCTTCTTTTAACTGTAATGCAACAATCAACATGCAATAGGTAGAATTCCATATTGTAGGACAATCCATCACTAATTTTCTTGCAGACAATTATTGTTGTCGAATAACATCAGCAAATCTCATCAACCTTGACTTTAGAAGAATTCACAAAACAAACTGTGTCCCGAATCGTGTCAACAATAGATTCGATATATGTAATACCATCTTTCACCATCAAATTTAGAATGTGTGAATAACAACGAACATGAAAAAGCTTACTCCCAAAGAATAACTTCTTCACTTTGAAACTATCTTTCAATAACTTGATTGCTCCATCATTATTATAGGCATTATTTACCGATATTTTAAATTATTCCTAACTCCTTAATCAACGAGAGCTTTATAAAATGTGTCAACTATTTTAGATATCATGTGCGGAGGTGGCAAATGTAGAAAAATGGGAACACACTTTTGTAATCTCCATGTTGAATCAACAAATGCACAGTGACAATCATATGTGATATTTTTTGGCTTTTGGATTGTTATAAATTCGTTGTGAAACTAATTCTGTTGATATTTTTTAACATGTTTTTGAGCTTCTTTTTCTTCTTCTCATATATCAACATGTTATATGTTCGAGCAATTGCCCTTGAATATTTTGTAAATATGACGACATTTGAATGGTATGTATGTAAATCTTTCAAATGAAAAAAGTAAAAAAAAAAACAAAAACTAGAATTAATCAAATTTGAGTGTGAATCCAAACTATGAATTTATTTATGATCTCAATTGAATCGAAACTAGAAAGAACTAGACATGTTATGAATCTGTGTATGTTCTCAATTGAATCCAAACTTGCATCTACATTAAAACATAGTTATGAAACTAAATCTATAAATGAACAATAGTTTGAAATGAGTTTAAAATTGATGTGTGAAATCATATTAGAGCTCGAACCTTTGAGACAATGTTGATTCAAACACAAATATTTAAAATAAAATGAGATTTAACAATTTGTTGAATGAATTTCTTGATTACCAAAATATTTGCTATTATTTTTATTTAAATCTTTAAGAAATTATATAGGTTTTGTGTTTAAATGTGAATTAATTCAGTGATATATAAATTGTCCTTGTTTTGAAATTTGAATCACTTGGTACTCTAGTAAGCTTTGATGAGTTGAAATTGAGAATTGCTCATCCAACGACTTCTATAGTTTAAAGTGACTTATGTCTTATAGGAAGAATAAGTTTTTTTTACAATTATTGAAAAGCTAGGGATAAATACTTCTCACGAAGTGAGAGGAAAAAGATATAAAAAGTCTAATTAATAAAAGAGTAAACAACGAAGAAAAATATAATAAGAAAGAAAATCAAACAAGAACACTAAAAAGAGGCCTTCTTTACAAATAAGAAAGAAAATCAAACAAGAACACTAAAAAGATTTAGATATTTGTCTGCAAAATTTAGAGGCCTTCTTTACGAAGAGGCCTTCTTTACACTAAGATTAGAATCCATCCAAAATTTGCCTTGGCAAAAAGCATTAAATGAGATTTTTTTCCATCCTTGGCAGAATATAAGAAGCTTCTACTATTCCAAATGTTCCCAAGAGGCTTACATCATGGAAAAGCCAAAGCTTTACTGAACTTATTTATTTCCTTACACCTATGGATTCCTTTTCTAGATAGGGATTACTTAAGAAAAGCTTTACTAAACTTGTTTATTTACTTAAACCCTTGATAAGACTAAGAACTCAAAAATCAGTCAAAATGAAGTTGAGAGCTTCCACTTGCCAAAAAGGAGTTAGGAATGACTTCAACTTACAAAGCTTGCAAAAAAGAAGGGATCCCTTGCGATCTTCTTGCTGGTTTAGTGAAAACAAGGAATGGGTAGAAACCGTCGTGCGATTTTTGGCGTAGAGGCGATTGGCGCAGAGGTGATTGAAGAGAGGGATTCGGTGCCCTAGACTTCTGAACCGAAGATGTGGATGCCCTAAACTCGTGAATCGAAGAGATTGAAGAGAGGGATTCGGTGCCCTAGACTTCTGAATCGAAGATGTGGATGCCCTAAACTTGTGAATCGAAGAGGAAGGAAAGGGCTTCAGCTCTTGGTTTTGAACGGGGGAGTGAGGGACCGAGGGGTGGAGAGAAAAGCTTTGAGCTGACGTTTATTGCTAACGAGATGAGGATCGATCAATTGAAGTAGATGCCGTGCGGTGAGGAAGGAGATCAAGCAGTGTTGCGGTGCTGAGAGATAAAAAGACTTGGGAAGTATTTTTAGGGCTTTGAAGGAATGAGTGGACCACAGTTACGTAGCAAGCGTCACAACTTATCCTATTCGAGCGGCTCGTTGAGTTCACGTCTCGAGTCGGTCGAGACTCGAGCCTGAGCTCATATATAATACGAGCTCTATTGTAAACTCAAGCTCGAACTCGAATTTGAAGCTTGATAAGCTCGATTCACAAGCTCGTTAGCGAATTGAGATCGAGCCGGCTTGACTCATCTACACCCCTAAGAATGCTTTAGCTAAATTTTAGGTAACTATCTATCAATCAATGGATAATTTATCAAAGCTAATGTGCCGACAAACCACCTTAAAATGAGACAGTTGAAGGGAAAGATGAGCACTTTCTTAAGGTTGCTTTTGCACTGTTACAATTCCATATATTAGCAGTTCAATTTTCTTAAGGTTGCTTTGGCACTCTTAAAAGTTCCATATTGTAGCAGTTCAAACTATTCTTTATTTTGACGAGTTAATTAAATTGAAGTTATGGTCCACTCACATATACTAAAGCTTTGTTAACTTGATATTATTAATTGATAATTATTTAATTTTATTGCAAATAGCAAGGAGTGGTTATTGTTTATGGTTTGCTTTCATTGACATTTGAAAGTTTTACATTCATATATTTATGTCTGTTGAATACATCTTTGCATCTTGGCTGTAAATTTATATTCATAACTTCTATTACTTTCATCGTGGATCAATATTTATCACCTGAATGATCATATAGACTTCATGACAACAAATATCATTCTGTGTCTACTTTTGATGGAACAGAAGGCTCTCACATATTTTTGATTGATTAACCTATAAATAAGTTTATTTTGATAATGATCACAAATCAAGTTTTCATACATTGAATCTGCGAAGTTTGGCTTGAAAAGCTTTGATGAATTATTTTTGCAAGGTTAATTTTATGCTGCAAGCTTTGTATAACATGAAATGCGAACAAAAATTTTTATTACTTACTAAAAGAAGAATTCATTTACTCAAAATCACGGTCTTACGCAAGATAGCCAGTATTTTTGAACATTATGTTAGGTTCCTCATCATTCATATTATTTAGAATCATTATAACCCATATTTAAACAGGTAAAGCGTTATATTTGGTTTTCTAAAAGGTTTTAGAATTAAAATTATGAAGGAAATGTAAACCTTGAATTCTAAACTTTAGATGATGCTATTTTAAGAATCGAGAAAACTCTTACGAATTTAGCTAATTCTGATGTACCATCTCACTTTGCTTTTGTGGTGAAGTTGTCTGCATCAGGTTTTATTATATTTGGATAATTTAAGTTGAAGATAATGATCCTCTTTTCATTGGGGAATATCTTGGACGTAAACCTGAGACAAACCCTGAGCCTGGGCGTGAGGTCAAGCCAAATCTTACATCCCTCACTCTAATATAGCTGCTAATGTTGTTAGATGTTTTCTTGACTTTGTATCTAGCTTGCATGTTAATTTTACATTTTCAACCCCATCAGTCTGAAATCAACTTTCTGCTGTTATTGAAATACTTGCTATTTGCAATAATAAAATTCTTGTTACAAATGCTATTATCTCTAACGAGTATCATGTTATTGGTACGTTTTAATTTGATTTTGTTATTCCTCATTTACATAATAACCTTGCAAATGCTATTATCTCTAACGAGTATCATGTTATTGATACGTTTTAATTTGATTTTGTTATTCCTCATTTACGTAATATTGTTGTTCCTTTCTTAGCGTTGCTTGGACTTTTTATTATTGTATTTTTTTTTATCACCAAGATGAGCGTCAATTATGTTCCTCTTACTATCTATTGTTACGGCATTAGACTTATGGATTATGTAATGTCTAGATTTGCTACTACAGTTTTTTACCTTAACTTTATGGTTGATTATTTATTTATTTATTTGAACGAGATATTTTTGAGCATATGGTACCATGCCCAGGTGTTTCTATAAGCCTTGTTGATATGTTATATTTACTAATTTATGAGCTAGATCAATGACCTCTATGGATTATGGGTCTTGACTGCCTACTTCTATATTCACTTGATTCTGCACTGGATGCAGTCTCTTCGCTGCTTAAAGGCCTTTTGATGATTGGCGTTGACTTCAGCCATGACCTCCAACAATGTTGATGTTTGATTTCCTAGTGTTTGACAATATTTATGTGAATCTGTATAAACGTGTGCGACCACCTTTGCATCTGTTGACACCAGCCTTGTTGAGTCATGTTTTACTTTCCTTATTTAGAATCTTTACCTTTCTTGTATTTTTTATATTATAATTATTTGTTGAAGTGCCACTTATTCAGTGAATTCTTTTATAAGTGATTTTATTTTTTAATGAAAGATCCAGTAGTTTTTTTTTTTGTTGATCTAGATTTCTCTCTTTAAATTTAAAATTATCTTTATAAGTAGAAAATGCTTGTAATTTCAATGCTGTGATTACATGTCTATTGCATGCAGGCTGGCCTTCAGCCCCCTCCCTTTTAGGTTGTTGCTATCTTTCTTTTTGCTCTCCTCTATTTTTTAATCTCTCATTTGGTTTACTCATTTTTCCCTTTCTAGCTCTGGAAGACTTCTAATTCAGGCCTCCCTTCTCTTTTTATAAATTAAGCAAATTATGGGTTAGTCATTCACATTTTCAGAAAACCATCACAAACACTTTCACATAAAAAAGTGTATCCAAAATTTTTGTTCCCACCCATGGAGTCACCATCATCATTCTGATTAATTAAGGGCATATCCAATGCTTGAGGCTTGTGGGGGTGTGGGACTGTTTTTTTCTTGCGATTTTACCTGTGCATTTTAGAAACTTAGTTATGTTATTCTGACCTGTTTTTATTGCCATTATTACTATGAAGTTACTTTTTTCTTGTAATGATTTGTCCACAATGAGAACTGCATCATACCTTGGAATGTTTTGACCTTTTCTATTATGTATAAGCTTGGATTATCTGCCTTTTCCTATTGTTAGTAGATTGTTTAACTGTTTAAGTAAACATCTTTGATTTTTTTCTTCACCTATTGGTTGCAGCGATATAGTTTAATATGCTATTATTACTGAAACATTTCTTCTTTCATTTCTCGAAGGATGAAGTAGTTTCTTTCCCACTCTACGCAGAAGCAGTTAAGTTTGCTTTTCATGATGAAAGTATGGTTCGTATTGCAGTGCGTGCTTTGACACTAAATGTCTATCATGGTAAGTTGGTGAGGTCTGGGTTCTTATGGAAGTATGAGCATCCCTGTTAAATTAACAATAATTTCATTTTATTAATTTCCTCTTCCTATTTCAGTTGGAGATGAGGGCGTGAACAAATATGTTTCTAGTATTCCCTTGTCTGATTACTTTCCAAATTTGGTTAAATATTTCCAGATGCAATGCATCAGTTTGGAGGACAGAGTCTCCAAAAATACTGTGTAAGAAACTCAATTTTGGAAAGAAGTTATTAGCATTGTTATTTTACTTAAATAGTGAAATCAGTATATGCTGATTTGTGACATTTGGTGGATTGTTTATCTAAAGAAGTCGTGGGCATCAGTTTAGACCAATTTTTTGGTGCTGGCTTTATGAGTTGTCACGGTCCTGTCTCATTCATGGGAGTTTTGCTTGAAGTGTTTTTTCTAACTTGAAAAAAAAAATCTTTTCCTTCTATCCATATTTGTTTTGATGTGCTTCTTTTTGCACAACTATCTCATGTTAAAGCAGACAACTTAATGTGCTATGAGGCACTTGCTGTAGTGTATTTTATTTTATTTTTTAATCTCAATTTGCAGATTCTCTTTTCAAGTTTTTCTCCAATTTGCTTGCTCAGACTTGCATACTACTGTCAATAACAAGGCATATTCCTCCCCTAAGGCTTCTCATCAATTGAACTCCTCTGCCATAAGCAAAAAACTCCTTTCTCTCATTATGCTTGCTTTTGCGTGCTTCTACTCAACCTACCTAACAAAAATTGCTATCTGAGATCGCCACCTATTTTATTTATTTTCCTGCGTTTATTTCTTCCTATATATGTGCAACTGGTTGTTTTCTCAGCAATTTTCAATTGGCCAACCAATGGTAAGCTAACTTCAATTCATCAACTACTTCATGCTTTTTTCATAGCTGCTGAACTACTTCAAATGCGTTAGCGTCAATATTGTCAATATTTTCCTTTCCTTTTGACTGAAAATTAATCCATCTCTTTAGAACACGTGGCTATCAGCTTTCTTTATTCTGCATAATACTTCCATTAATGGGACATCTTTTCTTTTTAAGTATTGTTTTCCTTTTCTGAATATGAAAACTTCAAGTCGCATTTGCTTGAGTGGACAGTTTTCTGCTTACATGGGCGTGGACTTCGTCATGAAAATGCTTGGTTGGGGATTCATGATGCCAAATGGAATGGTTGTGCACTATTTTTTTTTTATCTCCAAATCGACCATGATTTGAAACAAATTGAAACTCAAATGTGGAGACCAAAATCTTCTTGATAAAAAGTGAAACAGAGCTGTTCGGTTCTCTTCTATTTTTGGTTTAGAATTAAAAGCTAAAATCTTTTGGGTCGGTTTGCTTTGGTTTCATCAGTTATTTTTGGTTCGACATGAAAGTGTCTTAGAAAATAGCTTTATAAGCTATATATTTAAGTTTATTCATTTGTTTTTCATTATGTGGCTGGATATGTCATTAATAACGTACTTTTGTTTGGCTTGTTTTCTTCTTTTTATTTTTTGGATTACTAAATGCACTAATCTAAATCAGACCAAGTAAATCAGTTTATGAAAACAAGCCAAAACCCAAAATAATTCAAATTACAGAACCTATGTTTTTTTCATTTCAATTTTTTTTCTTGGCCTTAAACAGAGTGTCACCCTTGAATATTAAAAAGTGTCATCTGGGTGAGGTGCAAATGATTTCCATTCTAACTTGTATCATCTGTTTTTGGTGCAGTAACCCTGATTCACAAGATGCAATTTCTAGCATACTTACTACAATTGATGAAATAGAGGACAATTTGTATTATTTTAGTGATATTATATCTGCTGGGGTTCCAGATCTTGGGAGATTAATAACTGATAACATCTTGCAACTTTTAGTTTTTCCATTGCTTCTACCCTCTTTGAGAAAGCAGAAGACAGTAAGTGCGTGTATTGTTATTCTTAGTAGAGGTGTTTGGTGTTCTCAGTGTTATGTTATTGAATTGTTTTTTCTCGTTAATGTTGTTTTTTTTCCCTTTTATGACCACAGGGCACAAAAATTAGCGTCACTACTTCATTATATTTGCTTTGTTGTGTGTTGCGGATTGTAAAAACCAAAGAGTTAGCTAGTAGCATTGCTGCAGCTTTATTCTTTGCTCCGGAAGTCTTCCTTCCAAAATTAGAAACCACACCTAATGGCAGTATCCTGAAGCACCAAGTGTCTCCAGAACAGGGGCAGGAAGTGGAAGAACCTTCATCTCCATGTCATTCATTTACAGAAAGTAAACAACGACAGGGCTCTTGTTCGTCATGTTTCACGGATTTGCCAAAAAATACCAATGATCTGCATGTTAGCTTGAGGTAGTTTTACATCAAATTTCTTCTGATTCCAGAACAAACATCTGAAATTGATATCTAGATCTGTGAGAAAAGATTTGCTTACAGTCACATGCTACATACAAATTTTTATATTTTTCTTGTGGTTATCCAATGCATATAGAAGTTTATTGTTCTTGCAGAATGCCATGCGAGCAAGTTTAATTTTTTCAAGTTGTTGATCATCTTTTATTACAGGAGAACGTTACTGTCTTTTGTTGTTAGTGGAAATGATGTTCAAGCACTTGGCGCTTTGTGCTTTTTATCTACTTTACTACAAACTAAAGGTGATAATCAATCTATTTCATTAACTAGCTTTTTGATTTTTTTTTTCATATTTTTATTGAATTGCATGCACCATTTTTTGTAGAATTAGATGAGTCAATGCTGGATGGACTTGGAATTCTTCCCCAGAGGAAGCAGCATAAGAGGCTTTTACTAGTTAGTAATGTTGATCCATTTTTGTTTTGGCATTCATTTTGTAGTTGACCAGCATATGCTATTTCTCTCTTGTGTTTTACTAGAATGACTGGTCTAAAAAAGTGCTTCTTCTATCATCTTTACGTCATTTGTCATCCTTCTTATACATCTCCTAAATGATTTTATTACTTTTGTTGTGCCGTTATGGGCATCAGGGCACATGTATGCTAATAGAATTTAATTATTAGGTGCTTATTTGAGCTTTGCTTATGTATGTCATGATTTACGGAAGAAATTAAATGAAGATGGGGAAGCTAATCATTTATAGTTGCCAAATGAATTAGTTGATTGAATAAGAGTTCATGTTTTACAGTTAATTTTTATGGCGTACCAAACTTGAAAAGTGGTGCGTGTAATGAGGATGAAAGTCATGTGTAATTTTTTGGTAATTAAATATAAATGCATTGAATTGATGATATTCTTCTTTCTCGCAATTTGGGTTATATTTTTTAGTAGAATCATTGTAGGAACTTAGAAAATGTTAACCTCATTGTTCCATGATTGTGATATTAATGAATCACTTGATTTTCTTTTTCCTTCGCTCTCCATGTGTCTTAAATTATTAGGAGTATGGTAGCCTACTTGCCTACATCAGTCACATAATAATCAGTATATTATAAGTTGGCTTGGATTAACTCTTAATGGTACAATGTCTATCTCCAAAAATTAATTTTGCTTTCCTGGTGATGAACCGATGTCATAAAATTGCATTGTCCTAGCTTACTGTATCCTCCAATGGTATTGTGAATTAATTTCATTTTCTTGATGAGTTATTATCACAGACCTTCGTTGCATGCAGTAATTTGTTTATTCTGCTGACTTATTATGATATATTTAATCAAAAAACTTTTTGTTGTCATGCAGCAAGCTTTGGTTGGTGAAGAATCAGGTGAAGAGCAACTATTTTCTCCAAGGAATAATAGAGAGAGCGATAAAATAGATACGGAGCTAGACATTTATCTACAAAAAATTAAGGTAATAAGCAGGGATCTATGCTTTTTCCTATTTTTTGTTGTCAACTTTGAAGTTTTCTCTGGTTTAGCAAATCATTGTTTGTTATCGTTGCAAAAATTGGTTCTTTTGCTCTTCGTATGTTTATTACTTTTTGGTTTCCTAGCTGTTGGATCTTGGACACAATTGGAATTGCATGATTTTCTGGGAAGCATACCTTTCTTGAAGCAGTTGTATGCACCATGTCAAGGCTATTGTTAATATATACATCGAATCTGGTTGAAATTTGAATTTGATCACATTCGATCCAATACAACCAGAAAAATTAACTATCAAATGAATTATAGTTAATCAAATTAACAGGGAAGAAGAAAGGCATTGGATTTGTCCATCAACATGCATAGAGATATTTATTAAAATGTATTCTAGCTATTAGTGTCTGCTTCTAATAGAATATATTATTCTAGGAAATCTCCTACAATAAATAGCTAGCTAATAAATTGGATTACAAAGAAAGTTCACCCAAAAGATGCTGTGGATGTGTTTAGGATTTTTCTTGATGCTGTTTAAACTCTGTGGTTTAGCAAGTTGCAAGAGATGAGTCAAATGTAGGGATGACGAATTGAATCATGTTTAAGAAACCAACTTGATATAAATCACAGGAAGAAGTGGAAAAAAGTTGGACAATAAGAAATTTTGATTCATCATTTAAATTTGACAATAAAAAGTTGGACAATAAAAAAATTGACAATAAGAAATTTTGCACTTTGCTTTTGCCTAATAATTTGGTTTGCTTTATAGGGAGTTATTGAAGTAATGAGTCGCATTTTTTTCCTCAGTGTTATTATATTCTTGGATCTATTTATCATTTTATTAGAGATAAAATATCTTAGAGTAAAGTTCATAAACTTAAGATGCTAAAATTTTGGAAGTAGGTGGAACAAAGGAATTCTTGCATTTTCTCGGTCGTGTTTTGAAACATTATAGTTAAGGTGATTGGAGATTCAATACTATTAGGTAATTAGGTAAAAATGACGTCTTCGAATGTTTGCCATTTGAAAATTTGATGTTATTCTTACTATGTGGATGGGATATGTCAATATGATGGAGTTAGTTGTGAGAACTGATAAGAAACAAAAGGTCATCAACCATAAGATATAATTTGTACTATTAAATTTGATTCCAAAGCATTGATAGTAAAGGAGTCTTTTGAGTTGTTGTGGGAGAATTTTGAGGCCTTTGACATCATTGTGAGAAAAAAAAGTTTGAAAGAAGAGAGGTAACTTAATTCTTGATTAAGTGAGCGCTTATAGAGTAGGTGTTTGTATTGGTAATGTAATGGGCCCAATAGAGTTTGTGGTTGTAGACACTATTGGGTGTTTGCGCTAGAAGGATGCTTGCAAGTTTATGGGGGTAGAAGAACCAAATGGTGTGTGGTTTTTGGTGCATCAACAAAAGTAGGGTGCCCAATCTTTTTCAAACTTATAGTCATAAAATATAGTGCGGTGAGCTAGAGAACATGAATTGAGGAGAAACGAGATCATGTTTTAAAGAGAGGGAGTCGTGGATGGCTAATGGGATTGGAGGTGCGGGAAAGTTGTTGTCGGGATTGGTGACGTGTGTGCATAAGTTCAAGGTAAGATCGGTTTTGTGCATGGGCTGATTTTATGAGCAAATGAAGATTAGGAAGGTAAGTATTCTTTGTACAACTTATCTTGCTTGATTACCATGTTGAAAAGAAAGGGTTTGCAAGTATCATTGCTTGAAAACTTACCTTGAAATTTGGACATATAAGTTGAATACAAAAGGAAAGAAATAAAAAGGTGGAACATTTAGAATTACAGTGGTATAAATGCATATCTTTATAATAAGATATTACTTAATATAACACTTTCTAATAATTTTTTTCTTAAATATATTATACATCAATACCCATCTTGTGGAGACTTTGATCATGATCTTATCTGCAACGAGCTTGATACCACGTCCAATAATTGTGATAAGATGATTTTGGCTTGAGTTTTGAGTATGAGATGGCATGATGTTTGGAAATTCATCATGGACCTACTATTATTATTCCATTACACCACTAGATTGAGATTCTGGATCCCGGAGTGTGTTTGATGCCTTCAAACATTATTTTTTTCACTGCAGCTTGCAATGTAAATCTAAGAACTTCCACATATTCTTATGTTGTTTCCCACTTTATTACAATTTTTAACCGTTAACTCTATGCTCCCACTGTCGTATCATTATGAGATCCTTGTCCAGCTAGATAATAAGGTACATTTAGATGATGTTTGACAATGTTTAGAGCCAAGGCCTCTTGATACTTGCTATATATGTGTATGATCTTCCATTTTTGCTGCTTTATATGATGCATAGTGTCAATTCTACATGCACTGCTATCATTGTTGTCCTCGTCAAATTCTCTGTAGAAGAATTTCAGTCCAGGTTAATGGATGCAGGATCATCAAAAGTTGCTGGTTCTTCGATCAAATTGTCATGTGTATTATGTGTCTAGTGTCATTTTTATGTTTTTTTTGCATGTGATGATGGATTTAAGCATTTTATGCATTATTTAAATGCTCTTTGTCAATTAACATGCTTCTAAAATTTTGTTTGAGGACAACAGAATTTGAATGCAAATTCTCATTAATCAAGAGCTTTCTTCCTCTCTTCTCCCAAAAATTGTGAATTCTTTTCAGTTTGGGATGTCTGCCTATTCTCTAAGTTATCCCAGTCATCGTGAAGAAATGAGCCCTTTCAGCACAATTTCATCTGCTAGGCCACAAAGATTACTATTTATGTACCTAGAATAGTTGGGGCTTAAATATAGTAATTTTTTTTTGGAATGTCTTCGAGGACAGCAGTTTAATTTTCAAATGCGGCAATGCTAGTATTGCAATGATTAATTGTTGTCGGGATTGGCGACGTGGGTGCATAAGTTCAAGGTAAGATCGGCTTTGTGCATGGGCTGATTTTATGAGCAAATGAAGATTAGGAAGGTAAGTATTCTTTGTACAACTTATCTTGCTCGGATGTTGAAAAGAAAGGGTTTGCAAGTATCATTGCTTGAATAAAAGGGCCTATATATAAACATATAAGTTGAATACAAAAGGAAAGAAATAAAAAGGTGGAACATTTAGAATTACAGTGGTATAAATGCATATCTTTATAATAAGATATTACTTAATATAACACTTTCTAATAATTTTTTTCTTAAATATATTATACATCAATACCCATCTTGTGGAGACTTTGATCATGATCTTATCTGCAACGAGCTTGATAACACGTCCAATAATTGTGATAAGACGATTTTAGCTTGAGTTTTGAGTATGAGATGGCATGATGTTTGGAAATTCATCATGGACCTACTATTATTATTCCATTACACCACTAGATTGAGATTCTGGATCCCGGAGTGTGTTTGATGCCTTCAAACATTATTTTTTTCACTGCAGCTTGCAATGTAAATCTAAGAACTTCCACATATTCTTATGTTGTTTCCCACTTTATTACAATTTTTAACCGTTACCTCTATGCTCCCACTGTCGTATCATTATGAGATCCTTGTCCAGTTAGATAATAAGGTACATTTAGATGATGTTTGACAATGTTTAGAGCCAAGGCCTCTTGATACTTGCTATATATGTGTATGATCTTCCATTTTTGCTGCTTTATATGATGCATAGTGTCAATTCTACATGCACTGCTATCATTGTTGTCCTCGTCAAATTCTCTGTAGAAGAATTTCAGTCCAGGTTAATGGATGCAGGATCATCAAAAGTTGCTGGTTCTTCGATCAAATTGTCATGTGTATTATGTGTCTAGTGTCATATTTATGTTTTTTTTGCATGTGATGATGGATTTAAGCATTTTATGCATTATTTAAATGCTCTTTGTCAATTAACATGCTTCTAAAATTTTGTTTGAGGACAACAGAATTTGAATGCAAATTCTCATTAATCAAGAGCTTTCTTCCTCTCTTCTCCCAAAAATTGAGAATTCTTTTCAGTTTGGGATGTCTGCCTATTCTCTAAGTTATCCCAGTCATCGTGAAGAAATGAGCCCTTTCAGTACAATTTCATCTGCTAGGCCACAAAGATTACTATTTATGTACCTACTATTTATCTACCTAGAATAGTTGGGGCTTAAATATAGTAATTTTTTTTTTGGAATGTCTTCGAGGACAGCAGTTTAATTTTCAAATGCGGCAATGCTAGTATTGCAATGATTAAACAACAACTGAGCTGTGCAGTGGTTTGTTTTTAAATGAGCTTTCTCTAGCAGTCTAAGATTTCTTTGTAATCTGATAATTTTTTTTAATGTTATCTTTATATTGCAAAATAATGAATTTTGTTAAAATTAAATATATTTGATTATTTTGCAAGTTTTCCTGTTTGTTTGATCTGATGAGGTTGATCAGATACTTTTGCTGGATTTGTTCTTTGACATTTGATATTCGTTTATGTGGGATCAGTCAAATTTTAGGCTACGAAATTATCGGTTGACATGAATTTTTTCATTGCATGTCTTCTTGTCAGCGCACCAAACTTAAATCAATTTCTATTAGAATTCTTTTATTGTGTGAAGTTCCAATGTCTGCTATTAGTCCAGCGTGGTTTGACATGAATTTCTTCGTAAATATTATGATTCTGATAATCTTGGGAACAAAATGCTCATGGAAAGAAGAATGGGCACTAAGAACAAGTTTGACGCTCATCTAGAATGACTATTTGTACAATGCAAAGTGATGTTTCACTTCTTATATGAATCTATCATTGTCATCTTCATTAGCCTAATTTTTAACCATTGGTGACGGCAATATGATTCTATCATATCATGCAAGAATATGTAGCTTTTCCAGTTCCTTTTTGATGTTGATCTGGTGAGTTTGCAACCTTGATGCATGAGCTGTACTATACAGATGCATTGTTTGTGGAACATTCTGAAGCTCTCAATAGTTTCATACTTTATGGAGGGTAGTAAAATCGTTTTTTGCATTTTTTTAATCCTCTCACTCTATTTTTGGCTCTTTATTATTTTTTCTGAGATAAACAATTTGTACATGCCACTGTAATTTTGTTTTGAGTTTTTTCAAGAAATATATGGTTGGGTACGAAGCTCTGCTTTGCAGTCAAATTGAAGGTCCCTTCTTTTCTGTTTGCATAAATGCAGGATCAGCATGTGCTATCCTATCTCTTGGAAGAACCTTTAACAAGCCCACACAAACATAGATATGAGGTTAGCCACCTTCATTTTATTTGATATTGATGTCTAAATGCTACCATTGATTACCCTAAATTTAATAGTAATCTTCTTTTGAAATTTTATAATCACATTTGTTTATTTATTTTTATGAAATATTAGGGAGCCTAGATTAAAGAGGGGTCGAAGTTGGGTCTCATATACTTGTGGATAAATCTATTTTCATCATAAAGTTTAAGCCTATTGGTTAGGGCTTGCCATTTAGTATTTCTATTTAAACACATTTTTCACATGTCCAATGTGCGACTAAATCCAATACTTTCCTGTGACTTAATAACCTACTACTCATATGCGAGCTCTCCGTATTAGCTATCACTTGATTGAAATCTTTTTGCCATTGTAAAATATTATACACAGTCAGTTTAAGATGTTGAATCTTAATTTAAATATGTTAGAATCAAGTGATATACTTGGATTGAAAAGTCTGATACTAGACAAATTATTAGCACTGTAGCCATATTTTTGGGAGTGTGGATCTAAGGGTATCAAAGTTGGAGCTGATACACTAGCGACGGCCAACCACATGGTATTTATGCACCAACTCATATGAGAGCTCTCCATATTAGTTATCACTTGAATGTAATCTTTTTACCATTGTAAAATATTATATACAGCCAGTTTAAGGTGTCCTGAGTTACATGGTTTTAAATTTTAACTTAAATACGTTAGAAGCAAGTGATATGTTTGGGAAGCTCATACGGATTGAAAAATCTGATGCTAGAAAAATTATTAGCACTGATGCCATATGTTAGGGATTGTGGATCAAAGGGAATCAAAGTTTGATTTGACATGCTAGCTACGACCAACCACATAGTATGTATGCACGGACACTTTTTTTCACATATTCAATGTTGGAATATAAACTTAATAATCTCCTTTTGGCTTGCTTAATATAAAATATTCAAAGGATCATATATATGATGGAAGGCATTTTGTTATATGATCTTATTGATGGGAATACCTTCAGATCAAATTGTAAAACCATGAATTAAGTTTTGATTTCTTTTCGATCTTTTTCTGTCTGAACTTTTCAATGGTGAGTTTTTTGGGCCTGTATTACTTGTCATACTTTGGCACTCATCACTAAAGTTTGGAAATTTGAGGATTTGACCTCTTGAATGTACTACTTTACCCATCTATTAATCCATCACTTTGGTATTAATGCTCACTATGCAACTTTGGGTAGTTGAGACAGTGACCTCAGAGTTGGCTATTGAGATGTTTCGATGGCAGATCTTTGGGAGTTACACTGCTTAAATGTCACACTCCTTTGTTCATTTTAATTTTTTTGACATGCCAGGCCTTGACCTTAAGGCGCGTTATTATGACCTTTGGGATTTATATTCTTATATGTAATACCCTGGCAATCCATTTGGCACTTTTTGCATTGTTAAAACTTATTGAGTGTGAGCATGTTTAGAAGTAGCTTGTATGGGAAAGTTTTTTTGAGTTTAACCCTGCGTTTAAATCTTTGAGGATGATCTTTTGTGTGATTTATAACTTTATTGACATCCTATCTTCCCTTAACAATACGAAGGATCTTGCAGGCCATCATGATAATGTCATTGATTAATGTTTGGGAGATGTATTTCCCTGATGTTAAGCATCAATGCTCATTGTACACCATCCTTTGTATAACTCAAATACTTTAGTTGATGGACCTTGTTTTGAAGCATCTTTTTAGGTAGTTTGATCCAGCTCTTAACTTCAAACTATTGCTCCAGTTTCATTGAGAATGGCGTGTTAGGAGATTTATGGTTTGGTTGGCATTCTTTTTCATAAGTCACATCCCCCTTTTGGTTGTGGAGGACATTATAGCCAGAGTTGTAAACCTTTGAGATCCACTGGAAGCTTTGGGTAATAGAAGCAGTATGATATATTACCCATATGTTATGCCTTAGTGCTTACATTTTAGGCTTGTATATTTGAGGCATATGACATTAGAGTTAGATAGTGGAACCTTCTTGCTATGAATTGCATTGCCCTACGTCATGTATTGGTGCTCACAATGCGGCACCTTTGATGACACTTGAATTGCTTGGAGTGCAAGACTTGCCTATGAAAAGCTTTTCCTAAAAGCCACCAAGTATTTTCAGGTTGAGGCTACCTCTTTCAATCCTTGTGGACAATCTGCTATGGATTTGTGATTGGTTTAAGAACCTTTATAATAATTTATTTCTCCTATTAATTCTGGAGGACTTTATAGATTGGAGAAGACTAGGGCTTCTTTTTTTTGTACTTGCTTTTGGCGTAGTTCTTTGAGAGCTTCCCCAGTAAGTTTATTTTATAAAAAACAATGCATTTTTACTCTTGACGCCCTTAGCATTTCCAGTTTTTTTTTTTAATTATTTTTTTTTTATTTTTTTTGTCCTTGAATGGTGACTTCTTGGATTCTTTTATAGGGCCAAAACTTACTTGTAAGGTCTTAGGTGCTTAATACATGGGTGAACATTTTATTTATTTGGATATCGCCTTCTTTGATTTTTGCTAAAAAACTTCCCATTGGAGATAAAATTTGTGTGATTTTAGAATGCTATTGATGCTACCAGATAGATATATTTTCTAACAAGCAGAGCCACATAATAATTGTTATCCTTAGCTGCTAAGTTTATATGTAGGTTGCACTTGATGCTATTCATGATTTATATGTAGATGAAGGATATATCACCCAACATCCCCAAGTGACCAAATCAAAGATGGAAACGAGATCTTATTCAATTGATCATGAGAAATTTAATCGCTTAAGGATAACCATTCCAACCTACCATCCTCCTCAATGTATGTGGGAAGCTTGGAATAGTTTTTCATGTGGTAGATTAGATTTAGTTATCCTGGTTCTTCATGATAGTTTCTCAAATTTTATTTAGAGAGAAAAGTTTGAAAATGATCCCCGACTCCTTGTAGAGGGTCATTTTAATTCCAGAGTTTATTAAACTGTCAATTTAATCCTCATATTCTTTACATACGGGCTGAAATAGTCCCAAGGGATGACTATTCTAGGCCCAATTATAAGAATCTGAGGACTATTTTGACACTTTTATTAACCTAGGGACTAAAATAACCCAAATAAATTGTTAGAGGACTATTTTGGCACTTTACTCTATTTATATATAAATTGAGAACTCTTATGGGCACACTCTCATAGTTATACTCTCTCCTCTTTTAGGGGAATTCACTCTCGATTAAAAGGGTTGCTTAGGCTCATGTTTAAACGTACAATTTTTGGATATACATGAATTTAATTGAATGGGGAATGTTTTAGGGGATGATGGTAAACCCAATCAAATCCCTTGATTTCTTTATCCTTAATATATTAATGAAACTAGTTTGCTAATATTAGTGGGCTTTGTGTTGGAATTTCTAGGGAGCTTTATTAGCAGCCATCGATTGCCTCTTAGGTTTCTCAAGCAATTGGGGTTGAAGCATGCCAATGAAATGCTCTTGAAATCAATTTCAACTCACTCACTGATAGAGGGCTAGTAGAACCAATGTTATGAATTGTTGATAGCAACTTAGCATGAGCACTTGTGCTTCAAAAGTTGTTGAGTACGACTGATGAGCTTAGAGGCATGACGTGATCATCAATTGTCCACGAGTTTTAGCTTGAAATTGATGTAACGTGTCAAGTACATGTGGTTTATTTTTGATTGGGAGGGTTGTTCAAATGATAGCTTGTTGAGTTTTGTTTGTATTTGAGCTTGCATTTATTAGAAAGCATAAGTTGACAGACATATTCATTTTGTGCTAACCCTGATTAATTGGATGAATACATTGATTGTAGGGTCCATTAAAGTATGAGGAAAGCCTAACAACTAGGTCTTATGGCCTTATCATATTGGTAAGGTGATCCAATTTGTTCAAATAGCTTGGTTAAAGTTGTTGACTTATGATTGCTTCATTAATTTGGTGGGTGTTACATCTTCTAGAAGTCACAAAGAGAAAACTTAGATTGAGTTGTTATTTTGAACCTTAATAAGAACTTTAGGATTTGTACATTCAATAGTCAAAGAGGTGCAAGGATTAGCAACTCTTTTTCAGCAAAATAAATTTTATTATTTGGGAATGAAAATAGTACAGCATTAAGAAATTGCATAGCATTACTAAATGAAAGGAAGGACTAAAAATAAAATATATTATCTTGGCTAACATGTGGCTAATGAACCAAATGCTAAAAGACAAGAACCTCATCTCTTTGTTAAAAATGTCTAATTTGATGCTTAGTTTATTTTGGAGATTGGTGATAGATTTTTTTGGGGTTTTTTTTTACTCTTTTGATATGTAGAATTTGAAGCTCATTATGCACCAACTTTTTTGTATTAGAGATGATATTAGACATTGAGCTCAAATGCCCCTTGCTAGGATGCGAGGGAGTGAGTGCCCCTTGTTCTTGAAGGGCAAGCAATGGACTATGGCGCTAGGTCGAGAGATAGCGTTGTAACAACAATAGTTCAAGTTCGTATCCATAACTTTAAGGGGTTTGATGCAGAAGTTGGAATGAATGTAAATGATGGGTTCCTTAATTATTGTTGCTATTGTAGTGGGTCTTATAAGCCACTACTCTGTATAGTGAGCTGTTACAACTTCTTGTATCTAAAGAAGGCTTATATGGTGAAATTTTCTTATTGCAGGCTTATTTGAAACTATTTCTTTTGTTATATAAATTGTTGGTTCTTTCTTTATGCCTAGTGTTGAACAAGTAATTCTTGCACATGTGTAAGTATCGGGCGAAGAAGTTTGTCAATATTGGACGACATTTTCTTCATTATTTCAAATTTAAAAGTAAGTTTGATATTGCATGTTTTGTTCACATGACTATCACTTTTTCTTGAGAACCATTTAGTTGGTCAAAGAAATTCCCAGACATCCATTTTGTTCAAATCACGCCCATAAATTTTTTTTATTCTCTTTTTACTAAAAGAAATAAATAGCATTGGCAACACTTAATTCATTTCTAGAATGAGGTAGTAATCATGCCA